CTACCTATTCTCGTAAATTTTAACTGCCGGATTTATAAAAGTATCTGTAAAGCACAACGGACCAGAAGAAAGTCTAAGTGCGGAAAACGAGTCCACTTTAAAAGGTATCTGTGATGATCAATTAATGACTGTTTTATTATACATGAAAATAGCGAAACCTTACAATAGTATGATAGCATTACATTTGTTTTTTTTAACACAATAATTTGTTAGGAAGTTAAAATTAAATAAAGACCCATCTACTAATAATATTTATTTTATTGACGGTATAAATAATAATTTGCGGCGGAACACATGAAATTGGTGGCATAATGTAGACTTTAGAGACATTATATGGTTCTGATGCTCTGCAACAGTATTGGCGTGAACAAAAATACCCGCGCAAAAAAAAACATGCTTTTTGACTTAAGAAAAATTACACCTCAGTTACATAAATGAAGAGCCACTCCTATTTTTTTTCATAAATTTACTACAGAATTATTTAGTGATTCACGTGAAACATCTACTAAATTTCAGCAATGTATATCTAATAGTCTTCAAGTAAAATGGCTGTGACATACGGACTGACGGCTAGGGCAAAATTATAAGGGTTTCGTTTTAGTCTTTTGGCTACAGAACCCCAAAAATAGAGTCAGGCATAATTTATTAACTGTACACAATCTTTCTAATTACAGTTGCCGCTATTTGAAGATTTAAAGTGATAAATAACAGAATTTGCCTATCAACGAAAGCTTGTGATTATAAATGGTGTATTAGAGCCAATCAAATTGCGTTAGAAGGTCAGAGGGTATAGTTAAAAGGAATGTGACTAACCTGCGATGTCGCTTGTCATACGATGAATTACTGCAGGAGTAAGCCAAGGACTTGTGCGTTTTGTATCTACTTTTTATTTATATATGTACCTTTGAGGCTTAAAATAATATTGATGGCTTAAGATTTAAGATTTGTTTTGATATAAATTAATTACTGAACTCAGTCTTTTGTTTCTTTAGACAGTTATACATATATGTGGTCCATTATCTATGAATTTTATATTAAAACTAGCATTGCCTGTGGCTCCGCCCGCGTTGAAATGACCATAAACCAAATTCTTAGGTCTTACATATTAGAATACTCTTACAATGCAGTTTTTGTATTTTTTCTCAGAAATGAGATATTTTCCCGCAGTAAACGGTATTCTATATGTTGACCCGAATAACCAGCTATCATCATACCAAATTTCATCAAAATCTGTCCAGTGGTTTTCTCGTGATGCGTAATAGACAGACAGACAAAAATTCTAAAAACTGTAGATTCGGATTCTGTATCGATAATAATATTTCAATTAGATTTTCCAAAAAATATTTTATGTACAGATTCGACTTAGTTACAATTTTATTATATGTATAGATATAAGTATTAACAAATAGAATAAGTCTTCTTTTGGTTCTTCAAAACATTAAAGCTAGGTAAAGCTATCTTTTTCATTATAAGGCTCTTACCATGTAACATTAACATTGATAAGTCATTATACAGTCAAGGAGCTAGTTTAAGATAATGGTTTGGCTAAAAAATAACAATTTATCATAGCGTATGCCAAATGCGAAGTGTTGCCATTCACAAGTAGGCGGATTTGGCAGCTCTCCCAGACTACATGTCGACAAGTGCCTGCTTACATCATTTGGCAGGGATAAGCCTAAAAAATTGAAAATTCTGAACGTATATTATTTTAATAGCCTCGCCTAGCACAGTTCCTTAAGTAGTAGATTCTTGATTCAATTTTTTAGATACTTTTTTTTTTTTTTTTCTATTTATTATAAGGGCTTTTATTTCAAAAATATGCCAGCCCTATCATACCTTAATCTACATAGTTACATAAACCGGATCTTAACAAAATTATATACCATTTTGGCCTCCTCAGAAGTAGGAAAGGACAAAATGGTATTAAAATTACCTACATCGAAAATATTTAGATTCAATGATTTAATTAGGTTTTTCCTTTGTTTATCGTACCGGACACATTCCATTAATAAATGATAAACATCTTCATATACTAGAGATACTTATTTAAATGAACACTAAACAGACTGCCATTGTAAATGCAAATATTTGTGTGTATGTTTATTACTTCTTCTCGTTGAAACGGCTGGGTGCATTGAGATAAAATTTACTACGTAAATACATTATAATTTTTAGCGCCTGGCTCTTATTTTTAAAGAATATAGAAAGATGGAAAACATTTACGATAACAATACACTATAGCATTGAAAACCAGTAAATTAGAATATTTTCGTAGACCCGCTACGAAAGCGTCTTGCACAACATCGTATTAGGCTCGTAGCATGCTATTGAAATGTTCCTAATGCAACTTCGTAGCCATGTGCAAGTATCTACACAAATAATGGGTAAATATCATGCCAGTCTTACTTATATCTGATTTATTTTTAAATAATAATTTCAAAATCACTATAGAAAAAGAGGTTTTAAAAAGTTAATTTATTTAATTGCTGATACGGTACATACTCGTATATAACATAGAAGGTTAACGTCAAAAATTCCGAATTTAAATAACCGTGAAGTTTCAACGATTCATAGATATTAAATATACATATGTATATACCTAAGCATTATATATGTACTTCTCAACGTCTTATCACATCTTATTTAAATATAAGTGCTATATGCAAATAATTTTATTGCAATTTACCCACCATCGTTAATTTTTGTTACTGAGTGTACAGATTTTAATGGAAGCCCTAACAGCATTTATATATGAGGTCAAAATGAATTGTTCGTTTTTTCGCTTAACGTCACACGATGTGAATAGTACCTACACATGACGTTATAAGTGTCCATGAATGACGCGTTTGCTGTAATTAGTGGTTTCCAGTTATTTCACATTGAATTTTCTGATAAACTATATGAATACCTTGATCATAAATAACTCATATAACTCGGAATACAGAAGTAACTGAAATAGATGCTCATATTATTAGCCACTAAGACAATTTATAAGTAAATAAGTCCTTTGTTTCCATTGTCATTAATTGAAAAACCAGGTTTTAAAATAAAATACGAGTTTTTTATTCACGAATTACTAATTGCTTAATTATCGAGCCGTCGAATACAAATATTAATATGGTGGAATAGGAAATTAAGTATGCTATTTAAGGCTATATATATATATATATATATATATATATATATATGAGAGAGAGAGAGAGAGAGAGAGAGAGCTTCTATCAAATTTCCGTACGTAGTTCTAATAACAAAAAAAACATAAAAAATGTATATCTCTTAAATACCTACATAGGCGAAAATTGAACCAAAAATTTTGACATGCTGGACATTACTACTAGACTATGCCACAATATACCATAGTCATTTAAAACACGACATTGTTATCGGCGCCTAATCATTAATATACTACTAAGGTCAAACTTATTGCACTAGGTTAATCTAAGTTTAAATGAAATAAAAATAGCGGGGCAACCCTGAGCTTACTAGGACGCTTAATTTATAGTCATATAACTTGTTAATCCGGAAACATAATAATTCAATCCTTTTTAGCGTCACAGAGCAGCTGAGTGGCATTTCTAAGTCAAAGAGGGTTCAGGATTAGAACATATTCCACCATACAGATCGTTCTGGTTCTCACAAGCCTTTCGAAAACTAATCAGGTTATTTTAGACATATAGACATACCTATAGGTTTCTTTCCTCCTAATGTCAGATTCGCACATGAGCGTCTAATAGAAGTTTGAACCCATTTCACTCTGTTTCCAAAGTGTGATTCCTCTCAATGTTCATCATTGGTATATTTTTAACTACATAGTTTTCAAAAATACTTAAATATGACTGACTGACTTGAGGACATCGTCCGCATGACAAGTTTTATTTATTTTCCTTCATTTTTTATGGACTACGCCGTCTATGGATAAATATTGTAGAAATGGAAACAACCATCCCCACGAACTTCTATGGGAGTATATTACAATATTATAGTTATATATGTAAATATTGGAGTATTATTGAATAGATAATTTATCGTTATAACCGAAAGCTTCATAAAATGCAATTTGCCAAAGTATTCAACGGGGATTCCTTTGAGTGCAATATTCCAAATCCGAGACCAAAATTTTACAGCATTATAAGGCTGGCCATTTATAGTGAGAATGTTGCTTGCATGTACAGCTCCATATTAAGCAGGGCTCGGAAATTCGTTCAATTTTTAAACCGGTTTTGGTTATTGACGCCAGACCAAAAGGCTTTTCAGTTTAAGGTTTCGGTTACGCTCTTTAACCGGGTGATATCCAGAAAACGGGTTTGACGAACTTAGGTTCCATGATCTAAATTAGCCGGTTAAAATGAGTTTTTGTGCATTTGTTGACGTTTTCTACTTATAAATGAATGAACCGCTTTATTTCGGTATTAAAACCTAAGTCTACCCTTGTTCTAAGAATAACCGTTAACCATGATTATTTCGGTTTACTAAACCGTTCGTTTTTATTAACCGGTCAATGAACGAGCGATGAGTCAACCATTACATTGCCCAAAATTAACCTTTTTTTAAAACCGGTTCCGACTCTTGATATTAAGGTGGTTGAGGTGTTTATGTTTGTAATATAATAACTATATGCCAGATATAATAACTATAGTAATGATAATATTTAAAATTCTTTTTATAGCTTATCAACTATTTTCTTATTGTTATTGCAATATTATTTAGGTATGAATGAAAATGCATTTAAAATATAAAATATATTCATTTTGTAAATATATTATATTTACAAAATATATCGTTTTAACAAGAGGTTATTTATCTCAAAAGAAATTTACTAATAACGAGTATTTTGTGTAATAAATGATTACATACCTGTATCATATTCTGTAGACAGCTTGTTGATCGTGAGTCAATCTGATCATAGCGTGATGCAGATTCTAGTCTTAAGCGCTTTCATCCGTAAAATACTTCAATTCAGAAATAACATGAGCACTTAGTTTTAAACTTAATTTACATCACACTTCGAGTGATCGATGTTCCTTTATGATGTACCTAAAAAGATTAAAAAAAGAAAATTTAATAGAAGAAATATAAATTTTTGTATATCATAGTGTAATTATTTTGTTCTAATTAGTTTTTATCTGTGGATTAATAAAGATAATTATTTAAAGACAATTGTAATTAATATTATAAATGTGAATGCTTGTGAGTATGTATGGATGTTTGTTACTCTTTCACGCCAGAACGGCTGAACGGATCTGGATAAAATTTGGCACAGAGATAGAATATAGTCTGGAATAACTACTTTATATAATAACATAGACTACTTTTTATCCCGGAAAAATGTACGGTTCCCGTGGGATAGGTTTGTTTTTGTTTTAATAGAGGTGACCCCGAGCGAAGCGAGGATGAGCCGCTAGTAAATAACAATCAAGCGAAGGGTAGCATTGGTATAAGAACTTCGTATTAGTTATCAAATTAGGTGACATTAATTTTTGGAAAACTAAATTTTTTAAATTTTAATAGAGCAAAGATTGGAAACATTCATTAAAAATGATTTGAAGAATTTCGAAGATCACCCTGATCACTAAAATAACTCAAGACACAATTAGGTCATTCTACAGGAATCCAGGGCAGTACACGAGACAACTTAGGAAACGGTGGCGTTAGTTGATAAATAACACTAACAAACGTATTACACTTGGGCACTGCAGCCAATAATATTATTGCTTTTACTATAGATTACTAAATGCAATGACAGAAAACATTTGTATGTAGCTTCTGTTTGACTGTGTGTCTTTAACTATCTTTTTGGAATTTCAAAGAAAAAAAAACTACATAATTGTGTTATTATATAATATACAAGTTCAGTTAGTACCATATTTTCCTTAACATCTTACGTTTGAAAAACTTCTTAATAAGTATTTATATTGATGAATAATAATATTATGAGAAAACAAAAACACCATAAACCTCTAGCTACTGTTTTATGGTTTTAAAAAAGTTAATTTTCTAAATGAAAATACAAATTGCTCTACACTTAAACATTAAAGAAGTAGTAAAATAGAGATAAAAATATCCGATATTACTATTAGATAAGTACATTTTTTATAAATTCTTTGTTATATAATAATAAAATATCTTCAAACTCGAGCATTAAATGAAAGAAGTTAAATATAGCCTGTATATTGTAAAATCTTTCGAAGAATACTTGAATACTTGTTAGCTAGCTATTCCAAGTCAACAATGTTCAAAATGTGTTCAAACGAAATAAATCGGTACCAATGTCTTGATATTATTAGAATGTTGGGAGACAATGAGTGTTATAACTGTACGAGACTAGTAATAAAAACTTATGCGCTTAATAAAATATTGAACTAAGAAAAAATAAAAAGGATAGGATCTTACATAGCTAATAATAATTTGTATGATATACTCGTAGAAATGAAATAAAAATAATGGCATATTGCAGTCAAATTACTTCACACTTCCATATTTAGGCCAAAAGTTAATATTCTAAGTGATTTTCATTCTATTCTTAAAAGCAGCCGGTGGTATCGACGCAGAATATCGTATCTGATCTAAAAATAATGGTCGACAGGGAGCGGGGCAAGCTATCGGGTAGAAGTAGAGCAGTTATCAAACACACATTAGTCTACCCACGTCATTCCATTCATCCACTTCGATCGCACGCACACACGCGTTAACGCGCCACCACACCCGCCACCTGACCGCCACCATGCCACCACCGTCCAAGAAAAAGTAAAGAAAAAAATCAAGCATAACCACAGACGAACATAAAACTCGAAAACGACGTCGCCTCTACACTCGCGCACCGTCCACCATCTTAAATTTCATTCACAAAAATCGCTACAGCACATCGCCTATTTGTTTACCGTTTCACGCCTCCCTGATCACGGTGAGTCGATGCACTTAACACGGAACGCTTTCCTTCGAACCTCGCAAATGTTTTACACTAAATTTTATGGAAAAATAGCTTTTTATAAGTGGTTTTTGTTGCCAATACGGCCTTTTGGTTGTGCGCGGATATCACACGTCTGCACGTCACGGCTGTCTGTGTGCAACTGAAGAATGGTGGCAGGACTGCGGACGGTCGCGGGAGGCGCATGCGTGGTGCCTACCCGCCAAAATACACCTACGCGCATGTATGGACGGACTGCCTCCCGTTCAAAACTTCCATACATTTATGTCACAACAGTTTGTTTTTAAACATGATTGATTTTCAATGGACCAAAGAAAGTGAAGTCCTGTCAATCATCAAGTCAATGTACTTATTGTTACATCTTTAAAATATGGTATAAAGTCAGGTGTAGGAATTAGACGAGTCCATTGTCTATTTATATTTCGGTAATGCGAATGTAATGGTTCGTAGCGCGCTACGCGCGTTCGTAGTTCGTGGCACGGCGTAGATACTCTACAGTGTCCTACATATAGATTTTAATTAGACAACATATTTTAAGGTCTACAAATATTTAATTTTAGATGCTTTCAATCTTGTATAAGGTTATGTGAAATAAGGTTAGCACAGGCTTAGTATTTTGCATAGTACAACACTTGGCTCTATAGACATAAAACTATAATAAGAATTATTTTTTTGTATCAAATATTTTTTTATTACTTTATATATGATTTAATAACTAAAAGATGAATAAAATATAAAAAGGTATTAAATTGCTTCTTAACTATTTCCAATACTCTTCATAGTCCTCCAAATATGTTTATAATTAGATTCTTTAACAATACATAAATGTGAGCATAACGATAAAAATATATTGAATTAAATTTGATTATAAATAACACCTTTTAAAATAAAAAAAGAAAACATTAAGTTATTTCCATTAATTTCATTGAGATGTTAAAATAAAAATATTTTTTTTAAAGTAATTTCTCATTGTAGCGACTTCCAAAAAACCAAAATTATATGCAAAATTAAAAATTACTATAGGTATGAATTCAAATAAACAATATAACATATACATACATTTTGTATCTACATCTACTCAACGTTATAGATCGAAAACATGAATAGAAAGATCTCTGCAGAGCTATAAAGCCAAGTTCTGCGTGGTGCAGATAGACGCTCAGGCGCCGCTCCGGCTAGACCGAGGTCAGACAGAGCAATCTCTGCTTTCATCTCTCAGCAGGCTCTTATGCCTCCTTTGACGTCATATCAAGGTCATTGCGCATAAAATAACTTATTTTCATTCAATAAAATCACACCTAGAGCTTTCTAGATTTTGAAAGCTTTATAAAAATTATGAGGTTAGAAGACTTTTATAAAATATTCCTAATCTAAAGAAAAGGTACGAAACCCCTGCTATATACAGATATATTGTATAGACTAACAATTTTTAGAAGAACGGATTATTGAAACAGGGAGGGGGAGGATCGAGGAATTACTTGAACATTGCGCTTATAATATCTATCTATTTAGCCCTTTTTAACGTCCCACTGCTGGGCACGGTCCTCCCTTCAATGCGAGGGGGTTCAGGCCACAGTCCACCACGCTGGCCAAGTGTGGGTTGGCGGACTACACATGTCTTTCGAAAACTTGCTCGATTCTCTCAGACATGCAGATTTTCTCACGATGTTTTCCTTCACCGTAAGGCATGTGGTAATCATGTTAGAAATGATTCGCACACGAAAATATAAGAGGTTCGAGATCCGGGATTTGAATCCGCTTCACTCAGCTTCCCAAGTAAGCGCATTACCACTGAGCTACCACTACCTTACATGTAAATATTAATATTCACTATTTAAGCGATGGCTAAAGTGGCTTCTCCCGCATGGAAAAGGGAGCGGGGATAAAATATAAATGAACTATACGCTTACCAAATATCATCGATATTTGTTTAGCAGTTTTAACGTGGAAAGGTAACAAACTTTGTTCATGTATAAACAATGAAGGAAATATATATTACATGTAAATCACGGTGAAGAATACGAATACTTTAATGCTGATCCCGTTTAAATGATTAATGATGGAATAATTTTGTATAAGTTGATTATAATATTTATGTATCTTTTTTAGTTAAGAAGTTTATTATAAATACATATATATGTAGAAATAGATATAGATGGGAGAAAAGTGTTTTATATTTATTACCGTTTTATGGCCAAAAATGTAGAGTCATGAATTCACTGGCGCCGACTGAGATAGTGAAAGGACCAACTTTTAAGTATCTACAGCAATAGTTCAATGTGAATGCCAAATCATTTTATATCGAGGCTGTCATGGCAATATTAGGTATGACTGTTAAATTATTTATGTTTATTTTACTTGGAAAGGACACAAAATAAATTATAATAAATTACTTGTAATTTTTACCTTACCTATAGATTTTCCTACTTTTCTTCAGAAGTATATTGCTCCTTACTCATAAGTGGGCGCACCGACTGCATCATTTTACACACTCCATTTGACTGCGATGCGCCTCGTGTCTTTGGTAACAACTGCTACAGAAGGACCTATAAAACGATAGTGTAGCTAATCTCGTGAGCTTTTTCTCCTATTTTTTGACTCAGAAGAGATATCAAAATAAATGGTTGAATAATCACTAAGCTAAAAGATATATTCTCTTACTAGCGACTTTGTATTTTATAGCAATTTAGTACAAATGTACACGAATCGAAGACGTATATTGGACCAAATATGTTTTTTTATTTTTCATTATCTCTATGTTCTACTTGGTATTTACTGTCATGAATTCTGTGAAACTTAATTCTTAACGGCTTTTAAGCGGGTCGGCTGAGTTTTTCTTCAGTAATACAGGGCTTTTCAATAAGCGTATTTACCCAATCTTTAAGGGCCTTCAATGTCTTACCAGTTGCTCTGGTTCTGCAGGTGTGTATGGTGAGGTTGTTTGATAGGGCATAAAAACCACTTAACACTAGATCCTTTCATTTGTATACTATTACTAATACAAAAAAAAATATGTCATTATAATATTAACACCTCCAGGTAAATTTCTAAGAAATTAATTAAATTTCTAAGAAATCTATTGTTAACTGACACGTGCCGGCGTGTCCGCGCTCGTGGAGGGATTAAATTATTAAAATCTTAACTATATTTCATGTATCTTTATGCAATTTATTAAGTTTAAGTGAGCTTTTGCCAATAATTTTAAAGCATTTAGATATTATATTACATATTGCACATAGGTTTTAAACAACGTCACTTGTATCACACTGACAATTGTGAAAAATGTTAACTTATAACGGATACCATAAGTATATTATATTATTTTACTTTAAAAAATTACAGAGATGAGTAAACAGTACCTATCTATCCTATAAAATATCAATTATAGGAATACTGCTAAATGACGCTTGTGCTTAATCACATTTTCTAGGAAATATAGGAACGGGCACAATTAGTTGATTAATTTATTACTATCTAACCGTGGCCTCACTTTCCACATTTGACCTTCTGTATCGCTAATAATATGACACAATACATTTCAACAGACTTTCTTCTTTATTAAAAACGTTTCTTATGAATAATGCAAAAAAAAAAAACAAATCTATCGGCATTTTATAAATAAACCGATATTGTAAATATTCGTATCTAACTACATTGACATCAGTACGCACGAGGACGCCTACGGTTTTAAATTTCGAAGCACTCCTGTAGGAAAAAGACAGATAGCTTGCGCTTATGAAAGAAAGAGACGGATATACACATCGATCGGCTTACGTCACTTGAGACGTGTGGGCGCGATGACGTCACGCTGCGTCCGCCAATCAGGAGGCGGAGAAAAGGCGCCACGGATTGCTGAAAATGTGAAAATTTCTCTTAAAGGAAATACTTCAGTTACGTCAGATGCTACGTAGGATGCCTAATGGCATGTCATTATGATTATTTCACAGTTGAACTATAACGTTCTAAGTATATAGAAAAAGCAGGTTATTTTAAAATTAAAACGGTTTTTTTGCTTATATTGTTTATTTCGGTTAATAAAAAGTATAAGAAGTTAATAAATGACTAATATTAATAAAGTAGTATATTATACATTTTTAATGTAGATCGAAAATTACAAAATCATTATTTTTATAAAAATTATTGTTTAAAAGGCACTGTGGTAGGCCAGTGGTAACGCGCTGGCTTGGGGAACCGAGTCAAGCAGGTCCAAATCCCGGGTCTCGCACGTCTGATATTTTTATATGTAAATCATTACTAACATGAATAGCACTTGCCTTACAGTGAAGGAAAACATCGTGAGGAACCTGCATGTCTGAGAGAACCCAGCAAGTTTTCGAAAGACATGTGAAGTCCGCCAACCCGCACTTGGCCAGCGTAGTGGACTATGGCCTGATTCCCCTCTTATTGAAGGGAGGCCTGTGCCCAGCAGTGAAAAAGGGCTGAATACATAAAAACATTGTTTAAAATTATTATTAAAATTGTAAAACTGTTACTAGTATGCATGTTCGAATAACTTATTAATTATAATATATTTTTTATTAAAGTACCTGTATTGAAATACGTACCTATTTCAAAATATTCACACAATAAAAAATAGCGCCATCTATAGTTGAACCGGTTAATATAAGTTTACATTATTATCTTACTAGATGTCGCTATAAATAGGAAGCAACACTATTATAGTTACACTATTCACCACTAGATGACGTTGTTCTAAAATAAATAAAATAATTCTCAATAAATATCGCATAAAACTTTTATTTAATTTTTAACGGTTAGTATAGATTTCTCAGAAATTAGATATTCTACTGCAGTAAAAAGTTAACCCGGATAACCAGCTATCATCATACTAAATTTCATCAAGTTTTTTTCTCGTAATGCGTTCCCAGACTTATACACATTCAAACAGACAAAAATTCTAAAAACTATAGATTTGGCCTCTGTATCTATACTATTGCCTATTTCAATAATATTTTCCAAAAAATATTCGACTCAGAATTTTATTATATGTATAGATTTATATTTTTTAAATC